AAGTGCTACTGCTTCCCCATTTTTGCAGATGTGCAAGCTGATCCCCTAGGGAATGCCCAGGCACACCGCTGGAGGCTCCTTTTATTTATTTATTTATTTATTTATTTATTTATTTATTTATTTATTTATTTATTTTAAAGATTTTATGTTTTATTTTTTATTTATTCATGATAGACATACAGAGAGAGAGAGAGAGAGAGGCAGAGACACAGGCTCAGGGAGAAGCAGGCTCCATGCCAGGAGCCGGACGCGGGACTCGATCCCGGGACTCCAGGATAGCGCCCTGGGCCAAAGGCAGGCGCCAAACCATTGAGCCACCCAGGGATCCCCTGGAGGCTCCTCCTTTTAAAGCCAGGCCCCTGGCCACGCTGCATGCGGTGAAACAAGTGTCATCTGAGTCAGCTAAAAGCAGGGGCACCGATGAGTACCACCCAGGGTGGCAAGTAAGCATTTTAAACCCTGTAGACAAAGTGAGCCCCTTGTCCATCGGAGCAAAGATTCCGTCTGCAAGGCAGAAAATCACCCTACGTGTCTGTTTTGCAAGTTTTATTTACCCTGAAGGGACAATAGGCTGGCTTTCAGTGAAGCACACCTGGTGATGACTTTGCTGGGAATATTTGTGAAAGACACAGAATCCATTTCTGGTGATTGAAGATTTGTAAGGCCATTCAACTCTCCCTGGGCAAGGGGGCCAAACCTTTCCCAAGACCAAAAGCATCAGGAGTGTGCCCGCAAACCAGCAATTTGGAGATGAAGCCCGGTGAGTGGGAGAGAGACTTCCCATAGATTCCCACCTCCCCCAGGGAGGAGTCGCAAGCCAGGCGTGGCAGAGTGGCTTGCAGCTGGATTTGCAAGGGAGCCAGAACTCGGAAGTTGCTCATGTGTGTGCCGTGGGAAGTTTTCTTTCAACCTGGTGCTCTGTGAAATGAGGCCTTTAAAAAGATTGAGAACGTGAAGAAGTATATGCTTACTGTAGAAAGTTTAGAAACAACAGGGAAATATAAAGAAATTGTTGTTCATAACAACCCCCTGACCCCTATGCGTGCACGCCTGCCAGGAGATGGCTGCTGTCACCGTGTCAGGGTTTAAATGATCAAATTAGCCATTGTGCAGACCCATCACCACTACTGGTGGCTACTACTTACGGAGTTGCTCTTCTGTAACGACACTGTTCTTAGTGCTCGATGTAGATTGGCTCATTTGTAGTAGGAGCTCTGATCCCCACTGGGAGCATGGGAAACCCAGGCCCAGGGAGGGGCCGGATTTGCCCAGCTCCCTGAGCTGGTGACCCAGCAGACATGGGGCATGGGGGTGAGCTCAGGAGCCTGAGTCCAAAGCGCAAGGATCACACTGCTGCTGTGAAATCTCCCACCCCCTCCCCACCCCCCAGGTTTGTGGAGATAGGATTGGCAGGTAAACTGTATTAGTTTCAGATGCACAGTGTAAGGAATCGACATGTGTATAAACTGCAGAGTGACCGCACGGCAAATCTACCTCGCACCTGTCACCTCACATAGTTACCAGTCTTGTTAACCGCAGTTCCTTGCTGACCCCCATCTTTGCCAGTTTCTACCGCTCCGAGTTTGTGCCTTCTGACTCCCCTCGCCCATTCCCCCACCCCTTCCCACTTCCCATTTCCTACACCCTTTCATCTTGCCACCAGGGCAGCTTTGGAGATGCCAAGAGCAGGCAGGAAGAGTATGCAGAGTGGCTACAATCTTGGCCCAACGTCCAGTCAGTCTTCCAGCAGCCAGGGGGCTTGCAATGGGTTCTCTTCTCCCGACATTGGCCCCAGTGCCTCTGAGACTCCAAACAGGACAGAGAGGCCACCCAAAAGGGATCATAATAACATGCAGCTCTGCCCTATCCAAGCACAGCGTATGCTTTCTTCAAGGCCAATCCTCCCTGTTCCAAGAGGCCCTAGGAAATGTTCCTCCCCAGAAGAAGCAGTAGCCTTGAGGCCTGGTTACACCCTATACCTGAGAAACAGGAACTGCTCTTCTTCCAAAATGGCAGGTTCCCAGATCTCGAAAAAATAGAAGTGAAGCCTCAGTTTAGCCAGACCACATCAAGAGTCCCCCAAATGGGGCTTTGGAGAATGTCATATCCCATCCTCTTCTTCAGTAAATCAAGACTAGATTGTGCCAGGAAAAGGCTTTCTTTTTTCTTTCTTTCTTTCTTCCTTTTTAAAAAGATTTTATTTATTCATGAAAGACAGAGAGAGAGGCAGAGACACAGCAGAGGGAGAAGCAGGCTCCCTATAGGGAGCCTGATATGAAATTCAATCCCAGGACCCCGGGATCACAACCTGAGCCGAAGGCAGATGCTCAACCGCTGAGCCACCCAGGCGTCCGAGAAAAAGTTGAGCCACCCAGACATCCCAGAAAAAGACTCCTTCACATCCTTATATTTAATGGTTCCCCTCTATTCCACCATGTGGTTAACAGCAACATCTACCAAAGCAAGTTAGTTGGATGTTTGGTTTATTTCCAATATTGGTGATTATGTTTTAAAGCTATAATAAACCACCGTGTAGCCAAAATATAGCTTACTCTTTACTTCCTTAGAGAAATTCCCAGAAGTGGAATTACTAGGTAGAGGGCACAGGGCTTTAAGGCTTTTGGCAGAAACTCCCGCAAACTTTCCTCTGTAGAAACGTTCCAGATATTTTCCCCTCCAGCCTTTCTGAGAAAGAACAACACAGCTTTTAATAAATTAGCTCTTTAATCGGGCCACCAGTAGATGGCACTCTTTGCTAAGATTTTAGAGTCGGATTTCAGGGTAATGGATTTTAAGACCTTTCAACTTGCTAGAGAACTCTGAGACTCATACACGTGGGAGCAGATTTGCAGAAGGAAATCACGGACGTTATCGAATGAAAACCAATCGGCAGTGTTGCGTAACCGTGGGATCCTGGGATCCCAGAGGATCTTGAAAGCACTGCTGGGGTGTTATAGGGGGAGATTTTTTTTTTTTAGATTTTATTCATTTATTCATAGAGACAGAGAGAGAGAGGCAGAGACACAGGCAGAGGGAGAAGCAGGCTCCATGCAGAGAGCCCGACGTGGGACTCATCCAGGGTCTCCAGGATCACGCCCTGGGCTGCAGGCGGCGCTAAACCGCTGCACCACCGGGGCCGCCCACGGCTGGGGTGTTATAACTCAACTTACGAAGTCATGTCTCCTGCATCTTCTCAGGAGCCCTACACGCAAGACACCAGTGCACCAAGGCCTCCCTTGTTAATTCTCATCCCCGGAAAGCTGAACCGGACCCGTCTGGTTCCTCCTGACCAGCTCTCCAGGTCCTGGCAGCACCACTGGCTTACCACAGCCGTAGTTTTGCAGTTCCACGTGTGATTATCGACCAGCTCTTTGGTTGTTGTTGGAGACCCGCCCCATCGTGTGCCTGGAGTCCAGTGCAGCGCTGGCCCAGGGGACAAATCCTGAAAGGCCTGCTATGTGGATGTAGGCGAGGTTATTTGGGACCTTGCCTTAGAGCTCGGCCACGTGATCGCCTTCCTAGAGAAACTCTAGCCCATTCGAACACGGTCAAGTTTTAGCTATTATGGGTGACAGAAACAGAAATTTAGCAACAGTCTAGAGATGAATAAACCACAGGAAGGAGGGCGACATAAGAGCTAGAAGTCCACACAGGCTCAGGGGTACTCCAAGGACAGGTCCCAGCCCACTTACTGGTCAGACAAGCTGCATTGCCCAACCTGCCCAGCTACAAAATGGCTCTAATCAGTATGTGCACATTGGAGCCTCCACACAGCACCTGGGGCCTCACACGGGCTCAGTGGGTTTGCTGGGCCATTGGCAATCAGCGTTCAGGCCTGCCCACTCTGAAAGGACTGCAGGGAGAGCAAGAGCGGAGAGATGTTTATTTCCCCTAAGCCACCACTTTACGGGTCTTGCCAGGGAACGTTTGTGTTGTGTGACCTTTCAGCTGCTGGGATTTCATTTAGTTTATAACGCTGTGGATGTTCGGCCACTGTGTTGGGGGATCCGCTGGTGGTCCTGGTGGTCCGGGGGAGGAAAGTCCAGAGTGATGCGCCTTGGCTAACCTCTCCAGGGATGATGGGACTCTGGTCTTTCCCTGTGCACATGTCAGCATCATCAGCAAGTACTGGGGATCCTGTCCTGCTTCCAGGCCCAGGATAAATGGTGACCCGGGACCTAGCAGCCATTTTCATCTTGAGGAAACAAAGAGTAAGGACGCCTCACCCTACAGTCTGCTTTTGAACTTCTGCTAGATTTGGGAGCAGGGTCCTCAGGGTGCTGCTTCCAGGAACCCCAGCCCCTTCAAGTCAATAGAATCGAGCTCCATTTCTGGTTTCCCAGAGTCTAGGTCGCTGCTTCTAAAGCTGCATGGCCTGAACTCTGCTCCTTGGCAGGGAGAGTCCCCTTAGGATCACATCACAGGGTAATTGGCGCAGGAAGGAACTCAGGCTGTGGCCTTGGCCCTTCCGTCTTCTGGGCGCTGCGCTCAGTGGTGCTGTGTGTAACGAGCACCCCGGGCCCCACCTGGACAGCTCCAGCTCCCCCCCCCCCGGGGGGGACGGTTCTCCACACGCTCATAGTTCCCAGGTCTGCGACAGGAGTGGGCCGGGGGCGGGGAGCCCATTAGCGCGGCTCAGCGCGCCCCACGGGCCTGAGCGCCCGGGCAAGGGGCAGGCAGGAGCAAGGGCTTGGGCAGGCGGGCCCGGCCTCGCGGGGGCCTGGGGGGGCGCGCACACACCTCCTGTGGTGCCCCCCGGCCCGCCCCGGCCCGCCCCGGCCCGCCAGCAGGTGTGAGTTGGCGCCACACTGCAGCAGGCGAGAGGAGACCTCGCGGAGCCAAACGGCGGGTACCAGCGGGGGCCGGGGGCGGGGCGGGGCCGGGGCGGGGCCGGGGCGGGCCGGGGCGGGCGGGGCGGGGCCGGGGGCGGGGCCGGGGGCGGGGCCTGCGGCGGCGTATAAAGGCGCGGCGGCCGTACGGCCTGACGCAGCGGCCGGCAGCCGCGCGGGGAGCGGGTCCTCGCTGGGCGGCGGCGCGCGTGCGGAGGTGCGGCCCGGGGGCGGCGCGGCATGGCAGGCACCGGCCCGAAGCGGCGCGCGTCCGCGGCCCCCGCGGCCGCCGAGGAGGAGGAGCGGCAGGCGCGGGAGCGGATGCTGGCGGCCAAGCGCGCGGACGGCGGGGACGGCGGGGACGGCGGGGACGGCGCGGAGGGCGTGACCCTGCAGCGGAGCATCACGCTCTTCAACGGCGTGGCCATCATCGTGGGCACCATCATCGGCTCGGGCATCTTCGTGACGCCCACCGGCGTGCTCAAGGAGGCGGGCTCGCCGGGGCTGGCGCTGGTCGTGTGGGCCGTGTGCGGGGTCTTCTCCATCGTGGGCGCGCTGTGCTACGCCGAGCTGGGGACCACCATCACCAAGTCGGGGGGCGACTACGCCTACATGCTCGAGGTGTACGGCTCGCTGCCCGCCTTCCTCAAGCTCTGGATCGAGCTGCTCATCATCCGGCCGTCCTCGCAGTACATCGTGGCGCTCGTCTTCGCCACCTACCTGCTCAAGCCGCTCTTCCCCACCTGCCCCGTGCCCGAGAGCGCCGCCAAGCTGGTGGCCTGCCTCTGCGTGCGTGAGTACCGGGGGGGGGGGTGGGGGCGTGGGGGTCAGCGGGGGGGGGGCCGGGCCGCCGGCGGCCGCCTCCCCGCGCGGCCCACGTGGCGCCCATTCATCGGCGTGCGCCTCCTCTGGGGAGCGGGGCGGTGAGTCAGCAGGGTCCCTGCCCCGGTGCGGGGACGGGGGTGGGGTGGGGTGGGGGGTGGGGGGTGCTCCACTTCCTCAGCTTCTCCGTTCACGTGTACCCGGGGAGGCTGAGCTCACATCCCCTGCCTTCTGGGAGCCCCTGTGCCCGGTATGAAGAGCGCATTTCCTGCCTGAGAGTCCAGTGCCCGACTGCTCAGACCGAAATTGTAGTTTAAAAAAAAAAAAAAATCATTCATTTCTGGCCCTGGAAAGGGGCTTATCAGGGATCAGCAGAGGCTGGCTGGTACAAAACCAATAGTGCCAGAATTCGGGGGTGCTCTTTTAGGCAGTAAAAGATGGGGTGTGGTTGGCTGCAGATTAAATTTGAGTGTTGGGGGTGGAGGGTGGGTTTCAGGGGGAGGCCCCACATTGTGCTAAAAACAGCCCCTCATCCTGTTGCTAGTGATGGGCATGGTCTGGGTGTGTTGGTGGATACCGCCCTGGTGAACTGTCTGTCAGTGGTTTGCAAAAACAGTTTGCTTGTGGAATTTCAGGGGAAAAAAAAATCTTTTGTACCAAACATCGTGTGATTTTCTTCTCTTTTTTGGCTGTTGGCACTGTTTACACTGACCCCTTGGCCAGCCTCTAAGGAATCTTGCAAGATGGAAGTGTCCTGCTTTCAGAGCTGCCACCTGATGTGAGGATTTGCCTGAATGTTAATAGTGCATATAGGTCCAGAGCTAGCGGGGCTACATGTAGGGTTGGGGTCCCAGCCCAAAACTCAGGGACCATGTAGTTATTAGGAGTGGCTTCTGATCGGCAGTGCCTGCTGGTGCTGTGGGGATTTGGGCGTGTGTGGACCGAGTTTCCCACACGAGCCACATGGTAGTGTGGGGGCACACACACTTGATGAAGTGGTGAAAGTCAGTGCAGCTATGCTTGACTGCCTCACATCACACGCTTTTCCGAGACCCTGAACAGAGCAGCCACGCCGGTGAAGGAGCATTATTTGCCTTTTTTGGGTCGGTCTCAGTGATGTGGATCTCAGCTTAAGAAAAAACATTTGTCCAAACCTAGGAGGTTGATCTGCTTTCTGGTGGGGCTTGGGGATGAGGGTTTTATGGGCCGACATGTTGAACTGAGAAAGGAAAAGCCCCTCTAAAGGGAAAATGACTCATTAGGATACTATTGTGTTATAATATGATTTAATGTTTGTGTCCAGTATGTAGTGAAACAGATAAAGTCTTTAAAGCCCTGTTCTTTAGTCTGTAAAAATAAGTTCCTTTTGGAGCAGTGGGGGAAAAAAAGTTCCTTTTTTAAACTTTGGGGTTTAAGTAGACAGATTGCAGGGGCACTGCAGTAAGTACAGCCTTCCCCCGCCCTCCCCCCCCCCCAATGTCACTGTGTCACTCCTGGGCCTGGCCAGGAGTATGTTGGCAGTACCCCTGCCAGTTTAAGTAGTGAATAAGGGTGAGGTTTTCCATGTGCTGATCAGCCTTTGTGGCTGTTTTTCCCTGAACCACCTTATGAGTGTGTGACGTGGGTTATGGGTGGCTTTCTCTGATGGAAAGATTTTCAGGTACCAAAAGGGACTCGGTGTCTGCAAGGGTAAGCGCTTGTCTAGGGCCTCACTCTCTGGGGAACAGAGGCTGGTCCAAGGTTCACAGAACTCAGAGCTGTTCTGAACTGGGCACAGGGAGAGGTTATGATGCCCAGGGAGGTAGGCCCACACTTGTTGGGGTGCCTGAGAAGGCAGTGAGGAGCCACAGAAGAGTTTCCAAGTGTCCTCTAAGTATGGCACAAAAGCTGGCTTCTAGGATTTCTACTTAAGAAGAGGAAGGGCATTCTACCCCCTCTCCTGGGAGCCCATCCCCACAATGGTACAGGCCCCGGGCTCCACAGTGCCCCATGGGAGGCCCTGGTGGCCCACGCCTTCCTGTGTCCAGTCACAGGGATGCTAGAGCAAAGTTCTCAATTGCTGGTTAGTCTTTTCAGTGCCCTGGACACAACCCACCAGTTTCTGCTTCTTAAGAACTGGTGCTCTGAAACAGGTATGGTCCTGCTGGTAAAGCAAATGGGAATGAAAGCCTCGTCCTTTTTTTTTTTTTTTTAAGATTGTATTTATTTATTCATGAGAGAGACAGAGACATAGGCAGAGGGAGAAGCAGGCTCCCTGCAGGGAACCCGATGTGGGACTCCATCCCGGGACCCCAGGATCACGCCCTGAGCCAAAGGCAGACGCTCACCCACTGAGCCACCCAGGTGTCCCAAAAGCCCTGTTCTTGTAGGTCTGATGGCAATGAGGGTGTCTCTCAGTCCACCAGGAAGATGAGAAAAACTTGCTCCGGGAGTCTTGATGGCTGTATGGGACTAGGCATGGGATAGCTTACGTTATTGCTGAACAAAAACTTGGTAGCATTTGCTTGAAACTGATGATGCTGGCTTTTATTTTGGGGCAAAAGTCCCTCAGACTGGAATCGAGATTCTCGCCAGCCTCAGTGTTTCCAGCCTTCCTGGGCCAGCTTTCTCCATAAAATGGGTCCCGCAGTAGGAGCACACAGTGCCAGCTGGCCCAAGTCCAGAAACCTGCTTGGGTCCTTTATGTCAAGAGAGAGGCCCTTACAATGGTCAGAAAGGGCCATGTCCCTCATGGTCACTCCCTATCCTAGACACAAGGGTCAGGCAGGTGGCTGCAGATGGCCCTGCCCTCCTGTCTCCTCTCCCTGTTGGGTATGTGTGGGGTGCGACTGGGCCCACTGGGACAGTCACGGCTCAGACTAGCCAGGTGCTTGTAGAACTCGGGTTGTTCTGCTGGTGGCTCTGGGTCCCCTTCAGGGTGGAGGCCCTTTGTGGGGTCTGGAAAGCACATTCATCTGCCTTCTCATGGGAGACAGATGGGGTTGCCAAGGCTCCCCTCAAATGGGTAGGACCCCACCATGCCCCCGGTTCAGGCAGATCCCTGTGTGGTGGGGGTGGAGGTTCCTCTGGGGACATATGACCTTAGATGCTTTCCACGTGGTGTCAGGTAGAGCCTGTGCTCTGCATGTGAACAGACCTGGGTTCTGCTCCCAGAAATTCGCGTGGACCTCTCAGCATAGTTTCCACATCCGTGAAGTGGGAATTGGTCACAGCTCTGCCTGGGTGACTGCGAGGACTCTCGACCACAATGTGCTTGAGGACATGGCACATGGGGGACCCTGGCCACACAGTGGCTGCGATTTATTCTAAACACCACCCTCTGCTGTTCACCTCTCACATCTTGAGCTGCTCTAGAACTTGTTCTTCTCTGGTTTAGCAAAAAGAAGGAGGGAGAGAGAATGGAGAGAGGGCAGGAACGAGTCACAGGCGAATGCCAAGGTCTCCCTCTGGGGCTGGGGTCTGAGCTGCGAAATGCCTGTCACACAAGAAGTCGTCCCTTCCCGCCTCGGGGCAGGAGCTTGGCTGTCCTGTAGGTGAGGGGCACAGATCGGGGTGGCTTTGGCTGGTTGTGGACTGGGGCCAGCCCATGTGAGGCTCAGTCCGATGTGAGGCTCAGTCCGTTGGGGTGATGACCAGAGGGGGAAGGGAGGCCAGAGCTGTACCCTCCCCTGCCGAGTCTTCTTCATCAGCTAGCTAGCTCTTCTCCATCAGCACCAGGTGGTCCTCTACTCCTAGGGGTGTGGGGCACTTGCACAATGTGTCCACCCCTGGGCCTCCTGGTTCAGGGAGTCTGAATGCCTGCCAGCCGCCAGGGCTGGGCCCCTCTCTGCATGAGGCAAAGGCTTCGGGTGTTTCCAAGTTGTTGGCGACCCCAGAGTCACAAGCTGTGAGCTAAGTGCAGACGACAGCCCACTCATTAGTACTGAAATCCAACTTTCCCAGCCAGACAAGAACGTGCTCTGGCCACCGGGCAGGTCATGCTGATCACAGGACTAGGGCTCAGGCCTGGGGCGACTTCACAAAAGCACGTGACCTCAAAGGAAGCGGGACGTGCTGGGTGGGCATGTCTAACCCTTTTCTCCCTGGGTCACAGACCCTTGGTAATCCGATGGAATGTGCAGACTCGGCCCAGAAATGTGTGCCAGGCATAATAACTCCACAGTGTACATGGCCAAGGGGATCTCACACCCGCATCCCCCAAGGGTTGCAGAAGTGGATCTGGCGTCTCCCAGCTGGGGTGTGTGCCTGGACTCACACCTCTCCTCACATGCTCCTGCCCCAGCCTTTGAAACTAGTGCTGTCATCCCTTTTCTATGGCCAGGGCAACTGAGGCAGTGGTGGGATGAGGGCTCGGAGTTGGGACTGTTCTTGCTGAACTGCCTATTGTCATCACACGTGTGGGGACTCATGGTTGCATCTTTGGCGGGAGTGGCCCATGCCAGGGTCCTGGGGTGTCCTGGACATGCCTGGATACCATGTCCAGGCATCCCATCAGTCAAGGTAAGGAGACGTGGGGATCTGAGGTTTGTCCCATCCAAGACTTTTTGGGAAGAATGTAGGCTTGTCCCCCGGACGGGGGTGCCAGACCCCTTATGCACAGCTGGCTGGGGAGCCTTTCGTCTTTCCTTTTTCTTTCCATCTAGATCTTTACCTTGCAGAGGAGCTTCTGGGGCAGGGTAGGGCCACAGCTGCCTGCTGGCACACCCCTTCTGTGCCCAGGCTGACCTCCAGCTCCGTTGGCCTTCTGTGACCCACAGCAGGTGCTGGGAACCAGGGGGCTGTGTGATTCTGCACCCCTAGGGTACGTGACCTGCCTGGGCCCTCTCTGGATTGCTGGCCTACAGTGCTGCCCAGAGAACACTTGTCCCCACCCCGGGCTTTAGCCCGCTCACAGAACTACCCTGCCCTTTCCCGGACCACTGTCTAGTCCAGCAGCTTTTTGGCTCCTGGCACATGGTAAATTCTTGCTTG